GAGCACGCCTCGCCGCAGAGCGAAGCTTGACAAGTCTCGGGCCAAGACTCGTGGAACTGAACTTCCTTCGCCTTCGAGGTGTTCGATCACGGCGCGAAGTTCCGGGTTGTCTCGTTGAAGTGCTCCCATGTCGGCATCTGTCACTGCACCGAGAAAACGGGCGTCGTCGTCGTCGTCAGTGCTTTCGGGAGGAGATTCGACTGGGGCCCTAGACAAACAGTCGGCGTCGTTAAGCTTGCGGCCAGACTTATGCACAACGGTCACGTCGAATTCTTGCAGTCGCAGACTCCAGCGAGCGAGGCGTCCTGACGGGTCCTTGAGGTTGGCGAGCCAACAGAGAGCATGGTGGTCCGTGACAACGCGAAACGGGATCCTGTACAGGTACGGGCGGAACTTGGTTAACGCCCAGATGACAGCGAGACATTCCTTGTCGGTCGTCGAGTAATTTTTCTCTGCCTTGGACAGTGCCCCGCTTGCGTAAGCGATCACCCTCTCTGCTCCGTCTTGTCTTTGGACTAGTGCCGCGCCGAGTCCGGCGTTGCTGGCGTCCGTGTGAACTTCCGTTTCGGCTGATGGATCGAAGTGTCCGAGGATAGGGGGCGACTGGAATCTTTTCCTCTGTTCGTTGAACGCTTGTTCTTGTTCCTCCCCCCACTGGAAGTTCACGTCGTCCTTGGTCAGATACGTGAGCGGTGCAGAAATCTTGGCAAAATCGCGAACAAAACGCCTGTAGTAAGCGCACAGTCCAAGAAATCTTCTGACGGCTCTCTTGTCTGATGGCTTGGGAAATTCTGCAACAGCAGATGTCTTGGCAGGATCAGGGCTTAGACCCTGAGCACTCACGACATGGCCCAGGAATTTGAGCTCGCCGTAAGCGAACCGACATTTTGACGGCTTTAGTGTCAGTCCAGCATTCTGGATAGCCTGTAGCACGGCTCGCAAACGTCTCAGGTGCTCGTCGAAGTCGCTTGCGAATACCACGACGTCGTCGAGATAGACAAGGCAGCTTTGCCATTTCAAACCGGAAAGAACGGTGTCGATTACGCGCTGGAACGTCGCCGGTGCTGTGCACAGTCCGAAAGGCATCACTTTAAATTCGTACAGCCCGTCCGTCGTGACGAAGGCAGTCTTCTCACGATCCCGTTCGTCGACCTCGATCTGCCAGTACCCACTCTTCAGGTCGATCGACGAAAAGTATCGGGTATGGCGCAGCCGGTCCTGAGTGTCGTCGATGCGTGGCAGCGGGTAGACGTCCTTTTTCGTTACGGCATTTTGTCGGCGATAGTCCACGCAGAACCGAAGAGTTCTGCGGCGCAGGAGACTGACGTCGGGGCGGCGCGACATAGGTGCGACGAGGAGGCGGTGGCCGTCGGGCCACTGCGGCGTAACTCAACGTCAGTGGTTCCGGAGCAGTGCTGACGAGAACCTCAGGCTGCAGCGCTTGCTGGACTTCTTCCCTGATAATCTCGGCGATTGAGGGCGAAGCTGGGCTTGCGGTGGCAGGTAGAAGCTTCTTGATCTCCTCCCGGACGACGTCCCGGATTATCTCGCGGATGTCCGTGGTGTTGCAGCCGGAAGATGAAAAGGAACCGACGAAGGGAACTAGGTGATAGTGGGCGGCTCGTGCTTGAAGGGCACGTTCGATGTTGGTGGCCTCCGTCATGAAGCCTTCGAATGTGGTAGGCGGGCATCGCGCAAGACCACCAAAAATGTTTTCCTTTACGCCGCGCATCAAGACTTTGAGCTCCTTTGCTTCGGATGCTTCAGGATCGGCGCGGTTGCTCAGTCGCGGGACGACTTCCACGAAGCTAACGACGCTCTCGTTAGGGCCTTGGATCCTCGCTTGAAGAAGCTCTTCCGCGCGTTCTTTTCGTTGTTGGTTCGAGAATGTTCTTTGCAACTCAGCCTTGAGTTGCTCCCAGGAAGTGATCAGAGCTTCGTGGTTCTCGAACCAGTTCCGGGCGGTTGCTTCCAAGGCGAAGTACGCATTCTGTAGACACTGTTCTGGTGTCCACCCGTTATGACGGGCCACTCGTTCATACTGTTGGACCCAGTCGCCGATGTCTTGGTGGTTTTCGCCGTGGAAGGGAGCCGGTGTCCGAGGAGCGACGGGTAGGCAGACGACGGCAGGAGCGGCGGGGTTCTGCGACTGGTTGGCCATCGTCGTCTTCTTCGGCTTGGGCTTGTCCAGCAGCAAACCGTACTCAGGATCCTCTCCCTTGGTGCGGCGGCTGGTCCGAGTTTCAGGTTCTGCGGTGAATGGTCTTCTCACCGAGCCGGGAATCGGACTTGCACTGCGGGCCCTTGGAGGGGAACGCTGCACGGGCATGCGGTACCCTGCACCTCCACCAAAGTGTCACGGGTGGTGACCAAAAACAATAAATAAACAGGAAGAAATAAACGATTAATGTGGCGAACTTGTGCCAAAAATAAAAAGGGTACAAAAGATAACAACAGAGCGTCGCGGGCGTCGAAGTCGGCGTAGCAGCAGAGTCGAACGCTGGGGCGAAACTCACTCGACAAGGTCGCGGGCGGCCTCTTATCTAGAGTGAGTCACTATCTCGAAGATTCGGCGGAGAAGGTTCGAGCGTAGCGCGCTCGGGGCGAGAATGAACAAGCACTTTCTAGAACAACAAAATCAGGGATAAACGATAGTTATGTCCGCAGCAAGAATAAACGAGAACTTTCTACAAGTCTGTGACCCTGCGCGCGGCAATATCTCGAATGGATGGCCGTCATTTTGGAAAAAGAGGTCGAGATTGAACCAGGCCGACGAGGCGCGCGACATCACTATACCGAATTTCCTCCTCTCTTCGCTTCGCTCCCTCAAGGCCGTGAGGCGGAGAAGACGCGAGGCCGTTCCCTCTCCTTCTCGGAGAAATATGACGACATCATCTGTCAAATGCGCCTCCTTTTCTTGAACAATTTGGTCATTCGTTCGAGATTTCGCCGTATGAGTAATGTTTTGGTGTTTCTAGCATCCCATTGCACGCTTTTACCGCGTGCTTTGTGGAATCAAAATTTCGGTTCAGCATCCTTTTAAATTAAAACATGTTGGTTCATGTGTTAAAGGGGCCCTGCAAGGGCTTTTTTACTGGTTTCTAATTTGCACCGAACCTGAACGCCCTGAACGGAGTAACTTAGTGAAACTTTTCTTTTCTTGAAATTCGTTTTATTTTAAAAGTTATAGGCAAATTTGAATTACAAAAACAAGCAAAAAATAACCTCCCTCATGACTATCTTGGTTGCTTGAGTGGCCGTGAACTAAAGGAGGTGTAGTGAGCTCACGAAGCGCTCATGGCTGCAGCACTCCAGGTTGACTGTGCGAGAGGGCGCCACTAAAGCATGTTTTGGATAGGCTGTATGCAGCAGGCAGCCAGAGCTGCCCTCATTGCATTTGCTGCGCGATTAAACACTAATTTGGCATGACACTTTATTGGCCACAAATGACAGCAAACACGGGGTAAAGATCAGTACAGAATGGGAGCCAGTCTGCGCTGCCATACTGCCAAAGGGCCAAACCGCAAGACAAACCTGCTCGCCGAAGGCCTTCGTAATGCCCGGAGCCGGTCGGATCCTCCAGTCCGTAAACGACCGCAGCGCCGCCGCGTACATCCGGGACCTTTCCGTATCGGCGCCTGATTCCACCATTCCTTTCTAGTATGCGCCGTCTTTTCCACCGCTTGGTGGCGGGTATGTTGACTGGTCATTTCTTGTTTCCGTACTTTATAAACTGCATTCGTTTCTTTTCTGATCTAAAATGCTGAACAAAAACTTCTTTTATAAATAATTGAAACGGTTCGCGCCACTTATATTTTGTATTTCGACCCAAAAGGAAGCTTTTAGCGGCTCTGACCAGTAGTAAGCCCAGGACCAAATACGTCACATTTAGCGCGCTTTCGCTACCGCGGGTCGCACTCGTCGGTGGAGGAGGTTTCCGCGTCGTCCGGTTAAAAAATGACGCACCGATATTTAGTTACTCTCTCCGTGCCCGCTGGCTTGCCCGAACCCCAAGAGACGTGGAAACCGCAAAAAAGGTAGACGCTTAAATATGATTGCAGGGCCCCTTTAAGCCGCGTTCACTCGTGCGAACGCCGACGGATGGCGAAACTTTGCAGTTGCGAGTAGAGTTCCTGTATAGGCTCCCTAAGGGAGCCAGAGTTGCGCGTCTGTTTTCCATGTGCCACCGCGCCGCTATTCGCCAAGATCCGATCACGTGAGTAGCCTGATCAAATGCCGTCCAAGAAAGTAGACGTTGGGCGTACCCCGGCGTGCATTCCCCTGTTGTTTTGAGCGTGCCGCGCCCTTCAAACACGCGGCACCGCTATTTGCCGAATTCAGTCATGTGAGGAGCAGGATAAACATGCCGTGCAGGAAAGGCGGCGCTACGGGGATGAACGCGCAATTTTTGCTCCCGTAGGGAGCCTATACAGGAACTGCAGTTGCCAGCATGGTAATATAATGTGTAATAAATGCATTAATCTGTCCGGGTAAATCAAGCCTCGAGTAATTAGTGACCTCGTCTGCGCATATTGGCGACAACTAGATACAAGACCCGGGTGTGCACGTCGGCTTTTGATCCAAAACATATTCCTTTCCTCCCCCCCCCCCTTACCTCGACCACCTTCGTATGGAGCAGGGCGTTACGCGAATACGAGATTTGAGTTACTTCGGTTATTAGCTGCTATTGGCTAAAACAGTCGTCTATATACAAGAGTGAGCGTACGGTGCGATCTTTCCATAAGATGAAGGACGCTTTTACTCATACACAAAAATCAGCTATACGAACACTTCACAGCTGCTTCATGTAATGCCAGCTTTCTTCGTTTCCGCTTCCAAATAGCCGACGATGTCGCTTTGTTGGCATTCTCCTCGAGTCGAATACGTAGGAGGATTGGTGTTGTTTTCCCCATCTGCTTAAAGGTCGTTTGAGAGATATAAAAGAACAAGCGAATAAAACGCTATTTGATCGGGAAGTCAGCTTTTTTTCTGCAACGTGTTCAGAGACCTTCTGCATTCTCACCATGTTAAAGATTCGCCAATATGTTTTCTCGGTTGTCCTTTGCTGCATAATTACGGGACGTGCGTCGAATGCTGATGATTCTGCTGGTTCACCTCCGTTGGAGTCACACCCGAAAAGTGAAAATGAAAAAAGTCAGACAAGCAAAAAGTCAGAATACGATCCTGGAACCTCCTCCCTGGAACTGCAAGGTCGGCTGGCACTTGTGACTGGGGGAGCTAGCGGCATTGGCCGTAGCGTCGCCATGGTCCTCGCACGTGAGAACGTCACCGTCATTGTAGCTGACATCAATCAGACCGGAGGAGAGCAAACGATCAAATATCTCAACCTGTTAAGTAAGTCAAACCTTTTGAAAATATTTTTGTGCATTGAAATGTTTTTACATTTTAAAATAGTGCAAGAATACTCTTTCCCAGAAATTAAAATACGGAAAGTTACTCCTTAAATTATTTATTTATTTTAGCTGTTACGTAGCTTTGATGTGTGTATGTTTTCCACCCCAGTGTGCAGGTACCCTGCTGCACAAAAATATAAATACTTATATTTCTCTTGAATTTCGGCTCTCGGCTACAGGCACCCCCGTAATTTTGCGGGCTTAGTAGTTGCGCCATTTGATCGTTTTTTGTCCAATGTAGGTATGACTGAGGTGATTATGGCATAGTACTTGTGATAGTAAAATGTGGATAGAACAAAAGAGGTGTCCTGTACGAGTACAACCGAACTGCTGCGCAGAAAATGCTCGTTCTCGTGTCTCCCTTTCACGAAACTGACTGTCACCTCCATACGAGTTTCCCCCGGTGGTGGTAGTTCTGTTCATAAGGCACTGATAGGCAGTTAGCCTTCGTAGAAGTAGAGCTATATGCAAGGCGCGTGAACGGTGTCTTTGTCCATTCAGCGATGGTCCCTAGACGGAATTCGTGTTTGAAGATTCACCTCTTAGCTTACGCCGGAAAGATGGGCCGACAATTTCTTTTTATAAGTTTTTGTAATTTTTTGTTTGGCGGATCGATGCATTTAGCAAGACGAGGTCACCAATATTATAGGACACAGATATGTTAGTGTCCATGTGGCGCACGTTGTTGTCTTCATAACAACATTGTTATTTATTGCAACGATTTGAAGCCTTCAGGGGTTAGAGAGGAGTGGAATACAGCACATTAGTGCAAAATATATTTAGCATGGCTCATAACAGCGCGCACTACGCTAACGTATCGAAAAGTGTTGGATCGCATAGTGACCCGTAAGAGTGGTCTTGATTGGCGATACTTCGACGCAAACTTAAAGAGGAAAATACGGTTATACTTTGAGCGAGTTCGTGGAAGATGAGAACTTAAACACGTGTATATAAGGAGGTTATTTGGCCCAAGTTGATTAGTTTAGACCTTCTGGTCCTAAGTTATCGATGCCCAGGGCTCCCGCCCTTGCGTACCCCCGTACCCATAGAAACGCTAAAACGTTTTATATACGTGTTTGTTGTTTTGGACCCATCCCCAATATTCCCACCTGATTGCTTCCGCCACAGGCTAAACAAACCATGCCGAACTGGAGTCTGCGGGGTGGACTTCCGCGAAGCCAACTGAACGAAATTGGGTACTCTGGGAACATTCAGTGACATTTCAAGACTGATTGAGCGCCTGCTGAGAGCGGGCTTTCCACAGAGCGCATTTGTTGAGATGGCGGACTCCTTACTAAAAAAGCTAATTGCTATCTGCGTGGCTCCATCATATCAAATCTTTCTGAAGTGGTACATTTTGAGACACGGCGCTATGCAGTGGCAGCTCGACCTGGCACCTTGAAGCCCCTCTCTTGAGCAGCCTTACTCCACCTTCATATATTTGAAACGTTAATTCCCTTTTTTCAAAGTCGTGAAATATCGAGCTAATTTGTAATCTTAAAATCTGAGTGTTCGCCATTCAGTGCGAGGGTGAACGACATATATTCGCCTTTCTCTAACAGCGAAGGAAAATAAAAAAACAGGACTCGCCTAAATGAAAATTTGAGGGCATTTACGATGTCGCCTAACGTCTGTCACGGCGACAGCACATCGGTGCTAGCGTAATTCGCTGTAATTCTGACGTCGTTGTCGTGTTTTCGACAACCTTTAGCATGATTCTTAGGACTTTCACGCCATTTTTGCTTCTTACTATTCCACTCCCGTTCCTTATCCTTACCTGTTCTACGATGAGCCTCTTCGGAACGCCGTGAAGGATACTCATGGTATTCGGGCTGGTTATGAACTTTGCTAGGTCTACCCATGGGACGTCATATTTAGTGACTCCCTCACCCGCTCCACGCGGCAAACCAATACCACCTTGAAAGCAAGGCATGACGTCATATTTAGTTGATCTCGGACCCTCTCCGAGTGGCAAACATGGTGGACTTAAGTGAGTGAGGTTGCAAACCAGGGGACGTGTCTGTCTTCACGTCGCAGCGTGCTAGCGTGGCGCTCGTTGTGAGAGGCTGCGAGATGCGCCGGCGACTATGCTGATGGGATCTAGGCGGCGCTGTGGAGATCCACTAGTGATTACGTTTTGGGGAAAATGCGCAGAACTTGTCTTCTCGGTAGTGTTAGTTGGCTACCAGCTAATACCAATTAAGAGACAAGGCCTGCGAATAACGTGATCATTAGGGGATCCCCGATCGCCCCAAGCGGAAAAGATTCTGAAGCTCGACGGGACACGCCGCAAATCCGCAGATACATCCGCCTCGGCGTCGCCACATGGTAGCGTTGCACCCGTTGTGAGGTGCTGCCCTTCGCGCTGACGGCGAGGCTGAAGCAAACTGGCGGCGCTCCGCAGATACGCCAGTGATGTCGTTTAGAGGTGAATGGGCAAGCCTCGTCTTCTATGCTGTATTGGTCGACTACAGTTGATACCACCTAGAAGACAATGCCTGCGCATGATATCATCGGTAGTGGATCCCAACCCGCTCCAAACGGCGAACTCTCCCATGCTGGACGACAGACGCCGCAGAGCGACAGACGCGTCCGTCTTGGGGTCGCCATATGTTAGCGTTGAAATAGCGAGACGCGCTGGTGTCGGTTCTCGCGCCGGCTACGCGGCACTGCATATATCCACTAAAAAAAAGTAGTAGTAACGTTTGGTGATGGTTTCAATTTGCGTTTGAATATAGTGGTAACGTTTGGGGGAAGGGGGGGGGGGGGTTGTAGGCATTAGCTTTTAGATTGTATTGCTACAGTTATACAAGGTGAGACTGGCTGGACGTCTTTTCAACAGATAAATTTAAGGAGCTCGAGTGACAGAAAAGCCGGCGTCGGTGGTGTTGTAACGGGAAAATCCTGATTGGTCGATATGGTCATGACGTCAAAGCCACATGACCCCGCGCGGAAATTTAAAAGAACCTACAACGCTCATGTGAAACGTGACGTCACGAGGGGAATCAAAGTGATTACAAAACAGGATATGTAATGCCAGTTAGAGGTCGCTGCGTGCCTCGGATAATTTCAATTTATAAAGTAATTCTTTTGCCTTAAATATAAACCTGAAGAATTTTAGGCGAGATTCGAACCAACGACCCTTCGGCTGACTTGGCCACGCAGACACTTGTTTTTTTCTTTATTTCTAGGCCACAGAGACGCGCTTACAGGGCTTGCATGTCTGCGCGGATGCTTGCACGACTTCAGAACGAGTGGGAGTTTTCATGTTTAGCTATCGCGTTCCACTCTTAAAGGCGAAGCTTAAGCGTCCTCTTGTAATTCTTGAAACGACCGGCCTCCAGCACGCCCTCATCGGCTTTCGCTGTGCTTGGGACGCGACTGCGCTTTTGAGATGCCAAAACATTAACTAAAAAAGACGAAAATGGACACTACAACAAAATTTTGGCTCTTATTTTATGATCTAACGTGATCACTGGAGCATTCTATTATCGGACACCCCAATATTTTGTTGAAAAAGGCACGAAAGGGAATTTCAGAACAAAATACACGATTATCAAATCGCATCTGGTGGTTGCTGCTAAAAGCCTCGTTTGTAATGCCGTCTAACAACATTGACAGACAGTGACAATGCCTGTCTCGCCTAGAACTATGCGGAGAGCGAGTTCGTCTGCTTCATAAGCAGGGGTTGCGGTGACATCAAAACGCCGAGCTCTGACTGGATTTGATTGAAAGTCTAGTGGGTAGACCTCTAAGCAGCTATCATCGAGGTCTACTCCCCATCCCTCCATCAGATCCAATCAAAGCTCGGCGTTCTGATGTCAGATGCAACCCCTCCCTATTGAAAAAAAAAAACAGCTTAAGCGGGTCCCAGCTTCGAGCAACGTTATTGCCCCAGCATGCCCAGCTTGGCATGCTGGTCATGTCGGTTGATCTGGTCATACTGGTCATGGTGGTTGATCTAGTTATACTGGTCATGCTGGTTGATCTGGTCCCAGATTCAAGCTGAATTATTGCCCCAGCAAGCCCAGTTTGGCATGCTGGTCATGCTGGTGAATCTGGTCCCAGCTTCAAGCTGGGTTATTGCCCCAGCATGCCCAATTTTGAATGGTGGTCATGCTGGTCAAACTGGTCATGCTGGTGGACTTCCCAACCAGTTTCACCTGTTTAAATTAATACACAGGATAAACAAGCCAAGCTCTTCAGAAAAGCCAACTCGGCATCCAATTTACTATTTTCGTACTTGCGGCCGCCTCATATGAACTCAGATGCTACATATACTCGGCGCTAACACAGTACTAACCGACGCACAGACAGAGGCTCTCGGTGCAAAGCCAACAATGTTAATAAAACCAGATTGCTTATCTCTCAAAACGAAAAATACTAGACACACGCCAAAAACATGCCACAGAAAAAGAAATACTACTCGCATGAGAGAAGCGAACCTAAGTCCTGCCAGCGAAGCATCGACTTGCGTGGTCGGCAGAGGCGAGGAAATGCTTGTGGCTTGGATGGCATTGGCGATGCTCCTCGGCACCACCGTCATTCACGAGCACACACACGTTGGAAGACACGAAGCGACGTCTCAGTCGCGACGTCCGACATCTTCTCGCACAGAGCGGACTGCCGCTCGCTGTCTCCTCAAACCCCGCTTCGCTTGCACCGTCGTTCAAGTAGTCTCCAAACAACGCGCACACAGCCATCCCTTCGAAAATCTGCCCAAAATAGCCAAACGCGTCTCAAATTCTCCGTTCCTAAAACTCTCCCTCTATCTTTGTGTGCGAGAAAAGAGAGATCTCTCTTTTCTCGCACACAAAGGTAGCTTGCAGCGCGCCTGACGCGCCCGGTCGTCTACCAAAAACGAGAGGACAAAGAACAGGATGGGGCCTCGTTCCAACTTAAGCCGACCTTGGCGCTCGCGTTCCCAGCAATGCCAGTTCGGCTATCTCTAGCCGACCTAGACGTGCACGCTCCCAGCATGACCAGCTTGACCACCACGGTTATTAGTTCGACCAGATTCACCAGCTTGTCTCTCAGCATGACTAGCTTGTCTCCCAGCTTGCCCACATTGGCTCCATGGAGAACCAGTTTGACCAGTTAGGACCAGACTGGCTCCCAGCTACTCCAGATTGAATCTAAAACCAGATCCTAGTTAGACCATGCAGGTTTTTACTTAAACCAGACTGGCCAGCTTAAATTCTAGCTTGCCCAGCTTAAACCAGCTTGATTGCCAGTTAAACCAGTTTGACTACCACATTGACCAGATTGACCGTCTTAGTTCCCAGATCGGCCAGTTTGATTTTCATGCTGGTTTTTCAATAGAGCTGCGCAAGAAGCAGAGGAACTGGCACTCCGCATTGCTTCACTGGGGCCCCATGAATACAAGCATGAGCAGCGTGCGCGTGAGCGCAGCTTTGGCAAACTTGTAATATAACGCATATGTCCGCACAACGAAAGACATGGCGACGGCTAAATGCCCTGCTTCCAATCGTTTTGTCGACGTCAGTCTCGCCGGAAGTTCACTCGCCCCGAGACACGCCACGTCACAATTACGCCGGATGTCACATGCTTTCCGGTGGCTGCTCTCCGAGCGCTTCACAGTGGGGCCCCGCCATAATAAAAATTACAGCCATCAGGCTCGAAATAAAACGCGTGATTGTCATTTACAGATATTGCAGATCATGTTTCTATATTTTTGAATACTACAGGTTTATTTCAAATTTCGTTGAAGCATCCCTTTACTATTCTTAAAAGCGTTACTTTGATAGATCATTTGTTATAACGACTGACTCTGGCTGGAACGATTGCATCGCTGGACCGAACCCGCCTACACAAAAGATGTTTTTTTTATATAAATTCATCCGGGGGTGGCGGAGAACTTTCATGGTGACGGGTAGATAATATTGTCGAATTGACGACAAATAAAAGAAAACAGACGAAACCTGAACAAGACACTAACCCTTTCTTCGAATGATATTGTTCCTTTGTCTCAGTTTCTGGGGATATGGCATAGCTCAGTTTGTTGAAGCGATCGCTGTGCCATTTTGATGAAGACGCTAACGACACTGGTTTAAAGCCTGACCGATGACCCAGCCGTTAGTGGTCCGGGATTTGGAGCGTGGAGCCAGAATGAGCTACACCAGCGTTGTGGAAGCAAAGTTGGCGTAGCATATCCACCTCATCCATCGACGCCAGATCGAACGTCCCTAGTCTCGCCGTCAAATATCTTCTCCTTTTTGGGGTAGCCAATTCAAATATGTATGTTTCTAAGTTTTTCTGGCCAAATAAAGCCAATTCGAGCTCATTGTTGAAAGAGTCTAACGCCATGATTTCCATCAAGATCGTATCCTCCTTTAGCAGATAAACTTTTCACTCACGGTAGAGAAGGCGCTACCACATTTAGCACTCCAGTTCTTGCGAAACGAGACGAAATATGTTTTGTTCCGCAAAGTTAGCTTCAGGCTATTTCTAAAACGGGAAATGTTCTTCCTTCAATTGCGTCAAATTACCAAACACTCCTTCCCTCCCCCTCCCCCCCCCCCCCCCCCCCCACACACACACACAAAAAGAAAAAGCATGCCTGCTTTTAATTCTTTACGAAGCCATTGCGCATTTCCGTTGCCAGAGGCGCGAGCTGTACCGACCGTCTGCAAACGCGGTTCTCTAAAAACCGTTTTATAAAAACATAAGTCCGAGCGTCCGATCCGAAGTACCGATCGTTTGGTCTATCGACTGTGTCTTATGCCGGCTCCCTAAAACTCACTATTACGTACATTTGACCTGACCCACAAACCTTCGCACTACTAAAATGCAATTTCGGGGTTCCCACATAGGGGGTGCCAGCGCACCAGTGTGTTCTCTCGTCGTAATTGATTTTAAGAGGTTTTAAGGCATTCAGTTCTAAGGAATCACGAGTGTGTGAACGGTTCTTAAGGTTGAAAATATGAAGACAGTAGTTGCGTTTTAGGGAAGTAGTGTTTGCGAAAACTATGCTAAAATAGCCAAAATAATTTTATTTTCCAGAAGCCACACGAACGAGAGAGACAGGGAGATAGAAAGAGAGCGAGAGAGAGAGTAAGAAAGGAGAGAGTTAGGTTTATCTATTTAACTTGTTTCATTACTTTACGACAGATCCCTATTAGGAAAATAGGTCTGGAATGAGTAGAAGGTAGCTCATTACCTTATTTGTGAAGAGGGACCACCTTTCAACTCCGTGGCAGTGTAACATATTGTTATCGACTGATGAAAATGTGCTACATAAATGAAACTTGCATTATTTGTGGATTCTAATAAATTAGGGGTAATTTTTTTAGGTGTTACGAAAAAAAAAAGTAAAGAAATACGTTACTAGTTACTGTATGTTCGAGTAATATATATTTAGGCTTAATTAGTGAGCACTACGAAACCAGAGACACATTTTTGTACGATTATATGTGATAATATATTTTTCAAGTTAGAGCCTTCAGTGGAAGTCTGAACTATTACTAAAAGCGCTTACTCTGATATTTCTTTTTTCTGACAAACGTTTTGACAAGGACTCTAAAGTTGGAGGAGAGTCCTAATACCAATTTCAGATAGTATTTTTTCTATGTTTGTGCGATATAATCTTCCTTTTGTTTGCAGGCAGCCACCTCAAGCACAAGGCGATCTACGTGGATGTTCGAAATTCAACTTCGGTAGAATTTCTCATCAAATGCATAGAGCTCGAGTACAGCAATATGACCATCAGCATTGTAGTGAACAGCGCTGGCATTTTGCATGAGATTACACCAGTCGTCACTCTAGCTGACAAAACATTCAATGACATCATCAGCACCAATCTTAAGGTAAATTGAAGTGTTATAACCTTTTCATATATCTCAAGGGAATCTGTCTATGTGTAGAAAAAACAATAAATTAGCAATAAATTTAATTTACATCTATTGTCAGTGCAATATCATGCTTACTACATGTTTTGTTTTCAAGATACAATTATTTGTTTGTCCCTCATGTGCCACCGAACAGGTGTTTTGAGCATCTGTTAATTATGACGTGGTTAGAAATGCCTCAGATCTTCGCTAACCCCCTTCGCTGGGCATACCCAATATTTCATTCAAACGTTTTCGCTTTCAGGGTACTTTTCTGGTTACCAAAGAAGCGGTGAAGCACATGCTAGATCGGAACGTCACCGGAGCAGCTATCGTGAACATTGCGAGCATACTCGGCAAGGGTGGCTTTCCAGGACTCTCCGCCTACACAGCCTCCAAGGGTGGTGTCGTTGCGTTCACCAAGGCCGTCGCCGTTGAACTGGCTACAAGGGGTATCCGGGTTAATGCGATTCTGCCCGGCCTTACCAACACTCCCATGATTCGAAAGTACGGAAACGATACTATAAGAGAGAGGCTAGCGATGAGGATTCCCCTGCAGCGTATTGCGGAGCCACTCGAAATCTCGGAAACAATTGCGTTCATGTGCAGCCTGAAAGCATCCTACATGACTGGATCTACAGTTGATGTTGCGGGAGGAAGCATGCTATGATTCATTATTGCGACAAATAAACTCCTGAGTCTCTCGCTTAGAAAAATAATGGAAAGGCGTTGTTTTGTTTTTAAGTGCAAAGTTGCTTACCGTAAAATTATAGCCGCCTCTGTGGCTCCGAAGAAATGCGCCGTGCTACCGATCTTCAGGTGGCCAGTCTGAATCTCGGCCGAGGTTCACGCAACATGAAGGAAGATTATTGCTCAAAAAGCGCCATGTCACTGAGACTTCGGTTGCACGTCATAAATGTTCTAAACTTACCCTAAGTCCTCCGCTCAGGCGTTTATATTGCCTTTCTTTGGTTTAGAACGTAAAACTCCCACTCTTTGATTTATCATAAAAGTATAAATGCAGAAATATGCTTGCCGGGAGTAAAAATAAGTCCACAAATAACTGTTTAGGATATTTAAAATACAGCTTAGGTACGTGATCGATTCTATTAAATAAAAACTAATGCACTTTCTAATAAAAAGAAAAAAAGAGAACACAGCGACAGTGTGGATAAACGCAGTTTCAGATCTTGGTGATAATTTTTGTGGTGTTAGTAAAAACGCTACCGTGGAAATTAAATGCTCGCCAAAACTGCGCCTCCTCTGCCCGTTGAGTGCAGAAGGGGTGGTGTACCCGTTCATATTTAAAACTTGGACTAGCGTATATTTCGGAAAATTTGCAAGCAGCATTTTGTCTACCTCGCAGCATGTTTTCGCCGAAAAAGAACACGGTGGCCAGTATTTAGTCTGTTCGCTTCAGCCTAGAGATGATTGATCCCGAGTACGGGTGAATAATGTTGTTTATTCTATTTCAGTTTTTACTTACATACAAATCAATCGATTTCATGTCAACGGTCATTAGGGCCAGTCATGCTGCTTTTCTTTGGCTCCATTCCGGTTTCGAGAGGCGTGAGGGTATAAGAGCTACACCATCCAAACCTGAAAGCCTAAATATAGATATCTAAAGGGTTGAAGGACTAAAAGGTGTGGGTCTTGTGCTTGAAGGGCTTAGAGAGCATGAAGGGGTAAAGCCGTTTGATAGGCTGACGCGGTCCTAAAACATATAATGGCAGAAACGTTACTTTCTCTAGGGCTGTGAAGTCACTGCATGTGTGGAGATAACTATTGTTTGATTTTCAGTTGAATTGGAGTCAAATAGGAAGCAGAGAGTAAAAAGTCTGTCGCCTGTTCTGCGGCAATTGATGCACGTTTGAACGAATGTGTTTATGGCTGGATTTTGTGTAAAAAGTGTTGACGCTCAAGTTTCTCAAAAAAGCATTACACGCAGGCCAAGGTAACTTAAGATATACAGAGCGCATAACAGGCAATGCATTGTCATCCAAAGTAAACAGAAGGTATACTTAGCCATAATATTTTATATATATTTATAACTGAATACAATTAATCGTAACATGCGGGATTCTTCATGAAGCTCCATAGAAACCCAACCCAACCCATCCGATCCTCTGTAAGAACTATTTTCTCGGCGCTACAGAGAGGTGATGAAAGAGAGCGCAAACAGCTGGACTGAGCAGTATATAGCCGAGGGTCACTTGCGGCACACTTAGTCCACAGAAGACGATCGGCGTCAATTCATACTTAGTGCAGTCTACTTAATCCAGATGCGACCATCGGCAGCATCTGGTCAGCAACGAACGTTGGCGGCCAGTCATAGTTTGTTCGCTATTGAGAGTCGGCGGCGTGTGATACTTAGTTCAGCATACCTAGGCCGCGGACGACAGTTTGCTGCAAGACATACTTAGTCTAGCACACTTATATCACAGGTGACCGTCGGCGCCGAGCTACACGTAAGCTCAGTTCACATGATGCCCATTTGCTCGCGAATCATCAGCTGTGGAGCCTCAGCATTTACCACGCATTATTTTTTTTGCCGCATGAGCGATGGCGCAATTGTAACCCCAGTATACTTAGTTCACAGTCGGCAGTTCGCTGCAAGTCACACTTAGTCCAGCGTACTCAGTCCAGAGCCGGCCATCGACGCACGCAGGTAGCTTCCGAATGACAAAGTTGAGCTCCTCACGTGGAGTCACAACATCTCCTGATGGGTCATAACACAGCAAAAGATAGCATTTGTCACACGTAGGCTGCGCGTGCACGCTCAAGGCTCACGAGAGCCCAAATTATTATTGAAAACAGAAAGCTTGCGCTACAGGCAGGGCAGCTGAAAACGTCCAGAGCTGCTACCATAATCCTGCCAGTGACTACACCGATGACAGGTTAACAATGCAAGCATCGAATGAATAATGCCTTGGTGCCTTTCTGTTTGGTGGCAATATTACTTTCGGTAACCGATGCCGACATCGCGCACTTACAGGGCAATAACAAAGGAATAGCTAGAAAGCAAATTCCGTCCTGGTACAAGTTAAAGTTGTTGGTCCTCCCGGTGGTGTGGGAGGCAGGTTCCGCTCCGATGGTCTGGAGCGTGGTGGCACGAACGTCGCTGAGTAACGGGTCGACTCACAGCTTGTAGAGAAATATGTGCATATATTTACACTAGTTACAAGTCTTAACTTGGGACACAATCCTGCCTCGTCTGAAGTCTCGACCCCTGTCCCCAATTTCTCTCAATCAAATCCAAAGTACGAATCCCCCAAATCCTCTCCGCACTCTTTTTGTAGGCCCGCAGGGGCCTCCTTTCCCCTCAGGAACAGACCAATCTCTTCAAATTCCACCACTCACACCTGGCACACTGTTCTCCAATGGTCGGCGAGCTGTCATCCTGGCGCTCCAAACGCCAAACCCAAATTCCTTGTAGAGTCGTTCTCTGCAATTTTCCCAGTCTGACTGGCGCCAACCTCTAAATTATTGCATCGGGCAAAAAGCGACAATTTTACACTAAGCTGCAAAACCCTCTATATACGGGCACATTCGGTTAAAAGCGACAAGCATCTCCAACCCCGGGCTCTCCCGGTTTTGGTCGGAGCAGACCCCCGAAACTCAAGACGTTTCTTAACGACCGCGGGGGAACCGCTCCCGTATTGCGGTCGCTCTGGCCCCGCCGACAAAAACATAGAAAGCTAAAAAAAAATTCCGACGCAACTCTGGAAAGATAAACTTTTCTAACACAAGAAAACACCTTAATTAATAAGCATGATTTTTATATACTCAACTCCTCCCCACCAAGACTGTTGCGTTGACACCTGATGTAAGCGCAACATAAATTCCTTCGCCGAATAGCGCACTGGAAAATATTCGAAACGACCGCTTGGCCTACAGTTTATCAAAAGCAACCACGTGAACATTACGCCCTAAACGTTCACCAAGCGTTCATCCGTAAATGTCAACAAAATCAGACCGCACCGAAATAAAAAAAACGAGAAAAGGATTACAATTCACAAATACAGGAATACTAAAAGTAAACACACTGCTGCCGCAGGCAAAACGTCTGAGCACACACCCAGAAGAAAAATTGTCATGATAGCTGTCATGTAAAAGTCAAAATACCACCAACAATCACACACAGGTTGGTGCAACTCCTGTACATTCCGTGGTCCCGCAAAATCAGTGATGAGAATTGCTAAACTTTAGGGCAGGATCATAATACCCTAGTCATGCCTGTCTAGCCTCGACAAGGCGTCAGCGCATTTATTAAGCGAGCCCTTAATGTGAACGATTTCTAGATCGTACTTTTGCAAGGCCAACAACCAACGCGTCAGTCGGGCACTGGGGAAAGCGGCGTCCGTTAGATACGTCAGCGGGTTATGATCCGTGGCGACCTTTATCTTCGCCCCAAACAGCCAGGTGTCGAGTTTCCCTAGTGCCCACACGATGGCGTACTCTTCTCTTTCAATGGCGGACCATTTTGCCTGGCTTTCCGTCAGCTTTTTGCTCAGAAATGCACTCAGTCTAGATAAGCCTTCCACAATTTGCGACAGACACGCGCTGACAACGAACTCAGAGACGTCAGTGGTCACAGTGTACTCCCGAGTAGGATCGGGTGCGGTGAGCTCCGGCAGCGCCACCAGAGCCTCTTTGACTCCGTCAAAGTCAGCGTTCGCCGCCTTGGTCCATGGTACCAGGTTCGGCACCCTCTTATGCGTCAAGTCAGTCAATGGGCGGACAATCTCGGTATACCCGGGGACTTAGTCCCTGTAGTAATTGAAGAAACCCAGCACACTGCGCATATCGCGTTTGGTCCTGGGTGCCTTCAGTTCAGATATGGCACTGATTCGTTCTGGGTCAGGTGAATGAGTTTCTGATCCCATGACTTGCCCGTGGTACTTAAGCTTGGACTGCGCGAATTTACACTTCGTGGGATTCACCGTCAGTCCCACACCAGCGATCGTCTCCAACACGGAGCTCAAGTGCCCGACGTGTTCCTCCCACGACTCCGAGAAAACCGCTACATCGTCGATACACGCGCACGCGTATCTGCGGTGTTCTCTCAACACCTCGTTCATCACCCGCTGGAAGATTGCCGCGGAATTCCTCAGCCCGTAAGGCATAACCCTCCAAGAGTAGAGTCCTGGCGGCGTGGCGAACGCACTGAGTCTCTGCGAGTTTACACCCCCACGTCATGTCCAAAACGGAGATGAACTTGGCCATTGCCACCTCATACAAAAGCTCGGTTATGTTCCCCATGGGGAAACTGTCAGGCTCCGTAACTGCGTTGAGTTTCCTGTAATCTATGTAAACCTTACACATCCGTCTTTATTGGCTACGCACACCACAGGGTGAGCGTGCGGGCTGTCTACTGGATAGATGAAGCCCCATTCCAGCAGCTGGGTCACCTGTCGTTCTACTTCTCTTAATGCGATTGGCACACTGTACGGGTGAACTCTAGTACATCCGGCGTTAGGGAGAAGAGTGATCGTGTGGGCCCCGACATTGCACCTTCCTGGTTCTTTCGAGAACACACGAGAGAAGTTATCCAGTACTCGATCTAGATCGCGCTGCTGTCACCCAGTTAGCCTCTCGTTAACCTCATCAACCTTGTTCGAGCTCTCACTTTGCCCGATGCGGCATGGGACAATCGCTACGTCACCGAACTCCTGGTCGGTCTCAAA